ATTTACTAAAGGACAGCTAAACTAACTTTAGGTTTAATTAAGGTAGTAAAAAATGAGTTACAAGGAGGATTAAAAAAATGATCTGTTGGATATATAATGGATCTATACTCATTTCAATTGATATCTTCTCAATCTTTTCCCTTTTCTTTTATTTGCATTCAAACGTATGGAATTTTAGGGGAAAAAATGTTATTTTACCCCTTAAATTTACACCCTAATATTTATTTCTTAACTTGAAAAAAAAAACTTTTTATAAATTTGACTAACTTTACCGCAAGGTAAAAAATGAATATACTATACCAACAAAAAAAAAAAAAAAAAAAACTCTAACGAAGTTGAATATTATAAGGTAAATTTAGAAAGGGAATGTTGTATCATTTATACTTTTATTAAAAGAATAATTAAACAATAAAAAGTGATGACGAGAAGTCGCAATTACTACCAAAATCACTCTTATTTATGTGTAATAGCTAACAAAAAAAAAATCATATATAATAAATTTAAGAATATTTTGTTTCACCTATTTGACGACGTATTTTGACCTAAGAAAGCTCTGATTAGTTTCAAGCCATGGTTCAGGGGTAGCCAAACTGAATGTACTATATCTGTTGCCAACTACTGTATTAGACAAATTAGTAGGTTAGATTAAGTCAGGTTTTGTCTAAATTGGATAGTACATCTGAAACACAACAAATTTTAATTTGATATGAAATTAATAAATTTAAAAATTAAATATAATCATTATGAGACATATTATTTTGATTTTTTTTTATTTTTTATTTTTGGGTGCGGGCAATACTATTTTGATTTTATTTACATATATTTTTCTTGTTTCTTTTTGGGTGTTACTAAACATTACAAGAATTGATATTCGTTGTGGTCTAAAATTCTTAATCCGCATGTAAAAAGCCTAACGTGTATGTTATACTTGATATGGACGCCACCAGCGTATCAGACCTCGACAACCCAAGCAAAGTAAGGCTCAATACTGGAATGGTTAGGTCGCATGGACAACTTAGTTGATTACATAGATAAAGTTCGGGAACAATGATTCAGGATCAACTCTCACCTGTGACTGCGCGGAAGCAACCTCTCAAAGTGAGGGGGACTTCTTGTGCGTGTAAGTAAGTAAATGTCTAGCTTCTGTGTTTAGCTGAGTTATCGTGATTTACATCTTTTCAGATGCTCTGTCAGAACGGGACGTGAGTTAATTAGAACTATATCATCTTATAAATAATGTTATGTACATGTCAGCGTCACATTAAGGGTGTGTTTGGTTCGCACATGGGAATCAAAATCAGAATGAATATCAAATACTTGGTAATGGTAATAAGTTTTGGTGAAAGTATTTTGCAGGGTGGAATGAGAATAATTAGGCTAAGGATGAATAATGGGATGAAACCCTTATAAAATAAGGGAATGAGTTTTTCCATTAATATAATTGAGTATTCCAAACTCATAGTAGTGTTTTAAAAACCAGTCAACCAAACAATAACAATCACTTTCGTATCCATATCTAAGTGCTAAATCTGCCAATCAGACACACCCTAAATTACACGCTATATTTTATAAAAAAATTTACAAATTAAATGACCCAATTACATTATTTTTACAAGTTGAAGTGAAGGGTTCAACTAAAACTTTTTATAAATTGATGGCTTAATTGTTGTTTTGTTAATAATTTGATGATCTTATTGATTCTTATCTCTAAAAAAAAATGCCTCGATTTGATCCTATTTTATTTTTGCTCGAACGCTGACCTTGCGACGTGTGTTCATAAGGATTGTGTCGGGGCTCCTTATGCTCGAGGAGACTGTTTTTTTACTTTTTTTTTTTTTTCCGGGACTTCATCTTTCCTTCTCTGTATATAAATCTCTAAGAAAAATGGTTGGTGTTTAAAGATGTTTAAAAATCTATTCCTTAAAAAAATTTAAAAGTTAACATTTAAAATGGTCTCTCAGTTATAATTTCACACATTGTTCTTGACTAATAATTTATTCAAAGTGACACAAAATTGACTCAATTTAATTCTTGAATATTAAATTGAGTAAATTTTACATAATTGAATGAGTATTTTAAAATAATTGATAATTGGAGATTAAAATAAGAATTATAATATAATAATCCAAAATTAAGTGACATTAGTGTGTCCAAATCGCAGAATGGTATTTTATTTGGCGTTTGGGGCGGTGGAGCTTGGCAAACAAACAGGGTCTTAAAGTAGTTTGAGTAACAGACAAAACTGACAAAATGAAAGCGCGTGGGGCCCGGAATAAGATCCCCCTCTCGTGGACTTTCTGACCCCCTCTCCAAAACCTCTTTTCCCATCATCACAACATTTTTTGCAGAGGCCAGGATTAGGAAACTGCCCCCGATAGCGATTTCGCGCCAACAACAAACCAAACCAAACCATCACTCTTTTCAAAATCTTTTTTTTTTTTTTAATTTAAATATACTCTCCATCACATTTTATGTGTCTGGTTCAATAAACGAGCTTGATTAGAGTTATTTTTAATATATTTTTTCATAATATTAAGTTTAGTATTAATATACAAAATTTATATATTTAAAAACTGCACTAAAAGTAGAGTTAATTCCATCAAAGGTCCCTTGTTTTTTGTGACAATTCTAATTTTAGTCCCAGACTATTACCGTTTGGTTTGATAGAAAATATTTGAAGGGAAATGGAATTCAAATTCCATGGAAAACAATTTACCAGGAAAATAGATTTCATTGTTTGGTTGGTGGAAAAGAAATTACTGGGAATATGAATTCCATTGTTTGGTTGGGTTTGGAATGGTAAGGAATTATGAATATAAAGACCAATATACCTTATACATGTGTAATTAATAAATTTTGATGAGGGCAAAATAGTCTAATATACTATATTTTCTTCCAAACTCATCCGGAAAACAAAATACCAATGCTTAGGTCAGATTTTCTTTTCCTTCACTTTTAGGAAGTCAAATTCTCATGGCAAAGATTTTCCATCCAACCAAACAAAGGTAAAACAACATTTTTCTACATTTCATGGAAAATCTTTTCCATGGAATTTGATTTCCATCTAAATTTTTGCCATTTTACATCCCAGACTATTGTTTTTGGACACTTTTAGTCATTTCGAAGATTTTTTCAGTAAGATCCTATTTTTAGTAAGGATATTTTAGTCACTTCATTTTTTTTTTAATTTTACTGATTTTCTCCGATTTAATAATTGGATTATCCTAACAGAATCGGCTCTTCTAATTTTTAGGATTCAATCGCACAAATTCCTTCAAATCCCTAACTCAACTCCATCTCCTTCAGTTCAATCGACAAAATCCTTAATTGTCGCCCTAACTATGTAGTCCCAAATCTCTAAATTAGAAGTCATCTGAAACCCCTATAGGCAGTTTGCAGCAATGAAAAGGAGTTATCTATCGTTGCAAATCTCTCGTTGGACGAAGCTAATGGATATCGAAGGACATGTAAGACTATCTCATTGAACTTATCCGTGAGACGGATCGGATCAATATGAAAATATAATATTTATATTAAAAAATATAATACTAATTAAAAGTAAAATGTTGGTTACTTATAAAAGAAAATGTAATACTCCATTCTTTGATGAAAAATATAATATATTTTTATTACATTTTTTTTCTTATAGGTAGCAAATATTTTATTTGGAATTAGTATTTTGATTAGAGTTGAGACGAGCCATGAGGTTAAGCCGCGTGGTTACTAGTAGCCAAGTCGTGAGGTTAATAGGTGGGGCCCGTAGGGGTGTATATACTGATAGTCTGATAGTCTTAGTAAGCAGTGAGAGTGTATAAATAAACAATTAAATAGTAAATACATTTCACATCAAAAAGTCATTTTCAACCATAGTTAAATGTGGAAATGACCTCACCCCCTCGGTTTACTTAACTACCCCCTCCCTCTTTTTCTTGCTTGCTTGGTTGTATATTAGCTGTCAATTAAATACCTTTTTCTCTTTTCTATTTTGTCTTCAACATTTCTCATTAATTACTCACTCTATCATCTTAATTAATTAATTAATCATAAAATATGATAATGTAACAATATCTGTTATAATAACCCTTCTTGTAACTCAATAACACCTATATGGCTCTCCTCTAAATACGAGATCATAGTCTAAATCCTGTTTAAACATATATAACACTATAATAAAGTCATAAGATTAAAAAAGTCATTATTACACTTCTTTAAATAAAAAACAAAAAGTGAAAGCATTTTGATAAATTAAATTTTGTGTAAAATCATTTCAGATAAGAATGATTTTAAATATTTACAGAGTAATACTTTTTGTAAATACAATATATGATAAAAATCTTCAAATAAATTTATATGTCATGATGTGATTGTATTCAAATTGTTTGTGATGATATTGTATAATTAGATAAATATAAATTAATGTATTGTTATGTAAAACTATAAAATTTTTGGATGCATAACATTTTATTTAAAATTTATATGATACCAATAATTCATTGTGAAGTCTTATTTACTTACTAAATACCTCGTAATGATTTGTAAAGGTGTGCAATTTGCAGCAATTCATATAAAATTTATAAAATACTTAGCATCTGTGTTGATTCATTGAAAATAGTTAATTTCATTGTTTGATTAATAGAGAATAAGTTGTGCTTAGCTTAATGATTTAGTAAGCAATATTTGAGAGAAGAGATCAAGGTTCAGACATTCATTTAACCTTTAATATAAGGATTAACCTTGTATATTTTCTCTCAAAATACTTGGGAAAATAAAGTACCAAAGAAGGGCAAAGAATTCTTCATTAACCAAATAATGTAAAATTATGTTTTTTTTTTCATAATTTTTTTTTATAATCATGTGAACCAAACATGTCATTATTAAATGTTTTTTTTTTTATTGAAAAAAAATACTTATTAAATTAAATGTTAATTTAATCATATTATTAATTTATCCAAAATTTCCTATATAAAATTATGATCACTCTTTAAGAAGAGTCCTTCCCCTACGTCCTTACTTTGCCCTGTTCTCTTCCCTCTGTCTTTCACCTTCTTGCAGAGTCCAGAGTACTAGACTCTCAGCCCTGTCTAATCGTCTCCGGCGATCCACCGGCACCCTTTTCCGGCCTTTCTCCGACCAGACGCATTTCATAAACGTCTGCTTTTGGGGGGTTAAAGTTCTCACACACGATCACCGCTTTGAAAACAGCAAAATTCCGTGTGAACATAGACGTTGAGAGAGAGAGAGAGAGGAAAAGTTAAAAAGATTGAAACTTTCTTTTCGACTGTTGTGTTTTCAGTGAACCGCCACAAGCCCCCAAGCTAATAAGGCGCTTTTGTGCCCTAGGCAAAGTAGTAAGAGATTTTGTGCAGAGATAGAGGATTTTTCAGCCCGTTGAGTTTCAGAGTGAGCTCTGAAGATTCTGATCTTGCATGGTTAGAATTGGTGGTAAATTCTTGGCATTCACTTTAGTACTAATTTCCTTATAAAGTATGTTATGCTTTTAGTGTTGTTTCCCCTTTCCCTGTACTAGTGTAAGTTCTAAATTTATGTTTTCATTTTCTTCTGCAATTAGTCAATTGATTTATGGGTTCTGCTTTGATTTCTTGTTTTCAAGTGCTTTCTTTGTTTAGCTAAGTTGAGTTGGTGCACACATTGCCCTGAGTGTAGGCAGCTGCTTTCTGTATTTATCTGATTGAGTTTTTTATTTTTATTATTTTTTAATTTTTCCCCTCTTTGGAAATAGGTTATGATTCTGGTTTGCTGATATTTGTGGTTTGTATTCTTACTTTCATGAATTAGACTTATGTTGAGTAGAAGAGAAAGTTTAGTGCATAAACTCATGAGAATTTTAGGCTATCTTTTTGTTGTATGATGAAACAAAAAGTTAGTACTTGTAATTGAGTTGTCTTCAAACCAGTCTTTACTCAACCCACCCGGAAACCTCAACTGTCCTGTCTGGTTAGCTCTGCTCATTTTAGTAAGCCCCGAGACCAGACAGCTCCCAAACTTTTCTCATAACATCCTTCAATGAAAAGCTGAAATGGATTCAAACAATTTGAGCTACTTCAATCTCTCTTTGAGCTCGGTTATCAATTCCGAGTAATTAATCTTATTGCCAAGCACCTTGTGCTCAGATGGCACCCCCTTGAGGGAAGGTCACAGGATTGAACCCCGGTGGTGGGGACCATGGGGTATTGACTCTTTAGGCTGCAACAGATAGAGAAAGTATAGAACAGATACTACATTGTAATAGAGTCAATAGTACTCAAAAAAAAAAAAAAAAAACTTATTGAGTAGTGATCTCGGGGGCTTTGGGGCTAATAGATAGGTGGTCGTGGTCATCGTTTTTGGTGGGTGGAAGGATGATGGTTGAAACTCGGTTTGTTCAATTGCATGCTATGACTCGAACTAGAATCCATACATGGGCATAGATTCCGTGAATGATGGTAGGAACGGATCATGGTGGTTCTTTCTAATTGTATATATTGGAAGGGTTCTAATTTTTTATTGATTCAACAAATGATAGTTTTATAAAACTATTCCGTGTTTTGTTGAACATTTTGTTTTCTAGCTTACCTACATCATTATATTGTTATATCTTGGGCCATATTCATGCCTAAATGTTTCTTCGACCACAGCAGTTTATTTGTTTAAGAATATAATATCTTCAAGGCTTGGAATATTATGTATAGTTCATGCTATGAGAAGTTATATTTTAATGCAACCTGTAACAAATTGACAAGGCAGATTTTCAACATTCTTTATTTGCTCACCTTAATCAAGTCTGACGTGTGTATGAATATTGTTTAAATGATAGATGTGACTATGTGCTCTGGAAATGTAAAATATAGTCACAGAAATATGTTATTTTACTGCAATTTTACCTGTTAGGGTATTGGTCCTTGGCCTTGGGTATGGAGCAGCCTTAAATCTTTAGGACAGCTGTCCCACCCTTAGAGGTGCCTACAATTCAGTAATGGGATTAGTTACTGTGTCTGACGGTGTATACCCTGGGATACACCAAAAAAAAAATAAATCGGTTAGGAGTGTTAGTCAAGCTCTCTTACGGTAAAGCTAGATGGATTTTTTATAGTCTTAATCCAATTATATATTTGTTTCCCTTTTGGACCTTTGGGTACTCATCACGTCCACTATGAAGAGATTAGAAAGCGAGGATTTTGTCACATAAAATCTATCTGATACAATTTTAAGAATTTTCTTTTTCAATGTATTTGAGTAATCATGGCCCGAACCCACCATTTGCTTTCTCTACCATGCCTAATTATTGCGTTTACATTCTATGGTTCAGTGAGTGGAAGCATTCAAACAAAAAAATGATGGAACACAAAAGGGGTCCCGTCTCTCTTGACCACAGTAGCATGACGTCTTTGACACCTAAACGGCTCAAGGCCGATATGCCTATTTCTTCCAAGGTTGTTTTCCCTTCCTTTTGCCTTGCAGTACTAGTGATTTATGTGTAATTATCTTCACTTACTTTTTATTATTATTATTATTATTATTATTATTATTATTATTATTATTATTATTATTATTATTATTACTATTATTATTATTATTTTTAATATGGGTGTGCCATACTGCATTACTGCCATGTTCACATGTAGTCAAAGATAAAGTTTCAAACTTTGTGTGCCATTGGCTTAGTTTTTGTTTGACCCCTAATCCAATCCAAAATCAATATTGTTATGGCTGTTCTATTAATATTTGAATGTTTTTGGGCTTTTAGCCATGAGGGTGATTTTCTTTAAATACAAAGAATAAGGCCCATGTGTAGCCTCTACTTGTATCTAATATCGACACTTTTTACTTTTCCCCCGATAGGAAAAGAAAGAGAAGTTTGGTGAACGTATTGCAGCTCTGCAGCAGCTTGTATCACCATTTGGAAAGGTACCCCTGCCTAGCCTCCGCTTATCATATTACCAATAAATTTAAATTACTAACACCGAGATCTCGAGAAGCGGAGTTTTGGATCATAAATTCACCTTTTAAGAGGCTTATTCGTTTTTCCTTTGTTTTTACATTGACAGACAGACACAGCCTCAGTTCTTCATGAAGCAATGGGGTACATAAACTTCCTCCACGAACAAGTTAAGGTAAGCCAAAGTCTCCACAACCAAAGTGGAGGTCACCTTATATATATATATATATATATATATATTTTCGAGTACTATTGACCCTGTTACATGTAGTATCTGTTCATATACTTTCTCAACATACTGAAGCCCAGCGAGTCAATACTGCCCCAACTGAGGCTTGAACCCATAGTTATATGTAGAGTTAATACCCAAAATCGTCCTCGACTATAGTGGTTTTTTTCAATTTCGTCCTAAATGACTTTGGTGACCTAATATCGTCCCAGACTTTTGTGTTTCGCTCAATTTAGTCCTCCATTTGTTATTTCGTCAACTTGGTGTTAAATAAAGGGGCAATTCAGTAATGTCAATATTGATCTCTCTTTACTTCCAACTTGTGAAGTGCAAAATTTCTCTTTCTTGTACGAATTACACCCAAAATTACTCCCGGATCTGCAAATCAAATTTTATATTCGCAGTTTTAGGAGTAATTCTGGGAGTAATTCGTAAAAAAAAAAGGAATTTCGCAGTTCACATGTCTATGAGTAAAGAGATGCCAATATTAAAATTACTGAATTGTCTATTTATTTAACACCAAATGGACAGAATAACAAATGAGGGACTAAATTGAGCAAAAACACAAAAGTCTGGGACTAAATTGAGCGAAACACAAAAGTCTGGGACGATATTAGGTCACCAAAGTCGTTTAGGACGAAATTGAGAAAAACCACTATAGTCGAGGACGATTTTGGGTATTAACTCGTTATATGTATGTGTTATTCTTCCATTTCTCTTGCAATTCTCGTAAACATGACTTTGTTGCGTTTTTGCTTCATTGTGGTTTTAGGTGTTGAGTGCTCCGTATCTCCATCCTACTCCCGTGTCTAATACACAGGTTAGTGTTAAGAGTGTATAGCGAGATATATTCCCCTATGCTCTTCTGAATAAACGAACGTCAAATTGCACTAAACCATTACAGATTTTGAGATTTAGTGACACAGAATCAATGATTTTTCGTCCCTTTTATCTGTTTTGAAAGGAACCGCACCCCTACAATTTGAGAAGTAAGGGCTTATGCCTCGTGCCCATATCATACACCGAAGGAGTACCTAGTAGCAATGGCGCAGATATCTGGGCCCCTGTTAAGACTCTCCCGAAGTTCTAGAACCTCGCTCTCGAGTCTGATTCAAGAATCAAGACGACCAAATAAATGCGGTGAATGTGATAGATAGATTGCAGACTGGGATGGTAAAACCTCGTCCTCGGATGCCAGAAGTTTGTTGTGAATTCGGGTTCGAATGTCTAACAGCAAAACCTGGAGGCTGATTTATTTTGGTAAATCATTTAGCTAGTTATAGATCCTAGTTCTTAATTGTCCAGGTTTAACTGAAATGTATATGCATGAATGAAGAGATGTATAATTAATGATCTCTGTAGGAACTCACCCGCCATCAATGTTGTATTCCATATAATTAAGTTTCTGAGAATGTGGAAAACCCTTCTCTTATTCAATAGATCAGTTCTCATCTGGCACCATAACAAATCCTTTATTTTTATTTTCATTTTTTTAGAAAATAAAGAAAAGCATAATCTATAATCACTAAAAAAATTGTGTTGGACTAATGTTGGTAGTTCTATAAGAATTTTTTTTTGAGTGACGAGAAAAATTTACAGTTAATAGCTAAGAGTATGTATTGAGTAAATTTTAATCGGTAGAGAACTACAAAAAGATAAATTAATCTAATAATTTAAAATTTTGTAATTATTAAACCAACAACTCATTTAGTACATGATTCTAGTAAATTGATTTGTTAGTCAATCAGTTCTTATTATAAGTTAGGTTTATTTTAATGTGAGTGATGATATTAAACGGTGTACATTAAAGTCGTCACATACACTAAAGTCATCAATCATCAAAGTATTTAAAAAAAAAAAAAAACTAAAAAGAAATGACCAAATTGAGGATTTTAATTCAAAGTCTGAGGTCATCAATCAGGAAAATCGTTCTGTGGCACATCAGTAGAAAACGCGTTGAAATAAATTCGTATATCACATGCTGATGCCCATTGCCCAATTTGCTGCAAAAAAGAAAAGAAAAAAAAAACTTTTTTTTTTTTTTGCTGAAAAAAAAAACAAAAAACCTATATTAATCCATGGGAATGACGTGTTATAATAATACTTCAAAAAAAAAAGTGATCAAGTGAATAGAGCTACAGTGGGGGGCAACTGCTAGTGATGCAAATAAGTATGACCAACATTTAGGGACGAATCCTATCATTATAACTTAGGAACGAAAAATATGAAAAGTATAATTTTTTCTTAATTTAAATAAATAGTAAGAAATCAAGTGGCTTGTGGTCCACTGGTATCGTATTGTTCTCCTATATGAGAGGTTTAAGTTTTGAGCTTTAGTGTAGGCGTAGTTTGTATGGGTGTCCTCCTTCCTTTGTAATAAAAAAAATAAATAGTAAGAAGTAAGAAAATTAGAACTTTGAAAATTCAAACACCATAAACATAACTTTAATTTATGTATCAAACATCACGATTCAGGCCATGCACTAAGCATGCAACTCATAGTAACACACAACCAAACCAGGTTTACACAATATCGGATACAGAACTCGCGGTGTATATCTGTAACGATTGTCTAGGTGTTCCTTTTGTCCGCGGTGATTAGTTTTGTTTGTTCCCCGGGGTTCCACCCTTCCTCTGTATTCAAAAAGAAAAAAATATCGGATACAGAAAAAACACACACACACAACCGAACTAAGAATGACAACGGTGAAAAAAAAATACACACACAACCGAACTAAGAATGACAACCTCGTTCAGGACTGGTTGTCATCGATGACAGTGGAGCCGGTTTCATTCCGGGCTGTAACACCATGGGAAAATGGCCTATTGCCACGAATGTATCTTTTTGTTCCATAATTGTAACATATATAATTCATAATTCTCGTGTTTGAGTTATATCTTTTCCGCAACTGCAATATTCTAGTCTAGATGGCAATGAATGCAACCTAAGAATGACTTGCCTTTAATGTTTAATACACACCAAAATTAATTTTTTTAAACACAATTAAATACACAAATTAGGCAGAATGTTGAATATCTAAACATAGTCATTTCTCACTTAAAAAACTGGAATTGCAAAAATTATTTCAGGTCAAATTTTGTATAGCCATTAAAATTGGAGGTCAAAACACAAAATACTACAATATATACCACCTAAAAATTAACTAGTTTTTAACAATGAGAATTCAACAAACTCTCAAAATCTCTCATTATCTGACAAGCATCGTTGAATTCAACAGTCTTTTTCATATTCTCTAATGCGATTCTAGCAGCTTCTCTCTTGATTTTGAGGTCGGCCTCTGCCCTCATCAGTAGAAGTGTTTGGGCAGCTTTGATTTCTTGTTCAATTCTGACTTTCTCTGCAATCTCCAACCTCTTTGTTTCTTGTTGTTGCTTCAAATGGTCAGCAATATCTCCCTGATTTAAAGGCACGAGCCCTAAATGATGATTTGCTTTGAAAATTAGGTGTGCATAACGATTCTTCATCTGGGCAACACGTAGAGCCTTTGTTGGAGAAAGCTGATGAGCATGCTGATCAATGGCGGCAGTCGTAGACCTGCAACTTTGCTTTTCCTTGTGCAATGGCGGCAGACAATCCCTTCCACGTCTTAGATTTCGCGGTTCCGAACTTTCACGACTCTTAGGAGGTTGTTTGTTTTGACAATCCCTGTGAATCATCGTCCGTGGCGGCGCCGCCAGCAGAACCCTATCGCACTCTCGCCGGTGCTCCATTCTCCGCCGCCTCTTAATTTCTTTTCCGGCATCTATTTTGAAATCATCAAAACCACGCTTCTTGGATTCAAGCTTGTTGTTGTTACCCTTTTTCCCATCATCTCCTTCCCTTTTGTTGAGTGAAATTCTGATCGTAAGATTCGGTAGCCCTAGATCAGTCATTGCTGCGAGCGAAATCACTCAAAACTCAGAGAGTGACGATATGATATGATTGAAGAAGAGAGCAATTTTGGAAACCTAGTAAGGAAACGAGCGAGTGAGATTATATATGGAAACTGAGAGCCCCGCTTCCCTTACACTTAATCCTTATTTGAATAGGATTTAACGTTAGTCATCCTTTATCTGCAAGATTTAATTTAGATATTACTTCTCTCCCAAGTTTAGTTTAAATAAGTTATTAAATATAGATCTACAGTATAGAAATTATGGATCTACAGTATAAAAATTATGAATATAAATTGGGAAAATGACACTTTTTCCCTTTAAGTTGTATACTTATAGCACTTTTTCTCCCTGAGTTATTCAAATGGTTATATCCCCCTGAAATGTTTAATGGACACATTTACCCTTAAACATTTATTTTTCTTCTGTAACAAATAATGACCACGATTTGGTTCAAACCAAACAGATATTATAGCAATCAAATCGAAACATTCCAATATACAATTTAGAAGTGAAACCCGATATTTAGAGTTTATTAAAATCGCGAACCGAAACGGGCGGTTCATGTTCCGAACTGAAAAAAATACATTTATTGTTGAATTTAGACTATTTCAAAATAAAAAATAAAATTTTACAATAAAGACGGTTCAAAATCGTGAACCTGATCCGGAACCGCCGGTTTACGGTTCAGGATCCAGTTTTTCCGATTCAGAAATTTAATAAACTGAAATCCAAATATTGGGTTCTTATCTGAATCATAACCGAAAACTTCCAATTCGATTGCTAAAGTGTCCGGTTCAGTTCGAACCGAACCGTGTTCATCCCTACGTATACGCAATAATTTGTTGGAGAAGAAAAATAAATAAAATATTTATTTTAATGGTAGAAATGTCAATTTAATATATTAAGGGGGAAAACCGCCACTTTTAGAATAATTGAGGGGGCTAATGTGCTTACATGAATAATTCAAGGAGAAAAAGTGCTATAAGTATACAACTTAAGGGGAAAAATGTCATTTTCCCATATAAATTTGTGTGCACCATGCAAGGTGGGCACGTGCTCACAGCATAACGATTGAAAAATTTGAATGTCATTATATTAGGAACAATTGCCCTAATTTTTTTAAATTTTTATTTTCCCATTATAGAGTCATGCATAAATAACATAACCAAACATTATTAATATTGGTAATTATTTTAGTTCCATTGTACTACATGCAAAATACTTTTAGCAAAACCAATTACTATTATTAAGTATTTAATTTTCAATAATCCAATTTCGATTCTCATGTTTGAACTAAACACACCGTGAATATGATTACTAATTATTCAATCAAGAGTTTAAGACTAGCTATAAATTGAGCGATTTAACAATTAACTAATAACAACAGGTTATGTCACGTGGGATTTTTACTATCAAAAGTATATTTATCTTCAAATGTACAATTCTATACATATATGTTACACTGTACTACTACAAGAAAAATTAAATTATTATCAAGGGAAAATGACATTTTTTCCTCTAAGTTGTATACTTATAGTACTTTTTCCTTCTGAATTATTTAAGTGACTATTTTCTCCCCCTGAAATGTTTAATGGACACATTTACCCTTAAAATAAATGTTTCATTTATTTTTCTTCTGCAACAAATAATGACCACGATTTGGTTCAAACCGAACAGATATTATAGCAATCAAACCGAAATATTCCAATTACAATTTAGAAGTGAAACCCGATATTTAGAGTTTATTAAAATCGTGAACCGGAACGGGTGGTTCATGTTCCGAACTGAAAAAAAAAATAAAATACATTTATTGTTGAATTTAGACTATTTCAAAATAAAAAATAAAATTTTAAAATAAAGACGGTTCAAAATCGTGAACCGGATCCGGAACGGCCGGTTTACGATTCAGTATCCAGTTTTTCCGATTCATAAATTTAATAAACTGAAACCCAAATATTGAGTTCTGATATGAATCATAACCGAAAACTTCTAATTCGATTGCTAAAGTGTCCGGTTCAATTCGAACCGAACCGTGTTCATCCCTACGTATACGCAATAATTTGTTGGAGAAGAAAAATAAATAAAATATTTACTTTAAAGGTAGAAATGTCAATTTAATATATTAGGGGGAAAAACCGTCACTTTTAGAATAATTGAGGGAGCTAATGTGCTTACATAAATAATTCAGGGAGAAAAAGTGCTATAAGTATACAACTTAGGAAGAAAAAGTGTCATTTTCCCTATTATCAATAAACAAATTTGTAGCCTTGTAGATAATTCAATGAAACCCATATATAGATATTTAATCTGTTAGTAAATTCGTATAGTAGTTGCTTTATTTTATAAATTAATTTAAATAAATAGTAAGAAGCTAATTTAAGTAAGAAAACTTGAAGTTTGAAAATTCAAACACCATAAACATAACTTTATTTATCAAACATCACGATTCAGGCCATGCACTAAGCATGCAAATCATAGTAACACACAACTAGGTTTACACATTACAACATAGAATTAAAACACAACCAAACTTCAGAAGGCAGTGTTTACCCAATTCACACCAT